AAATAGATAGGTATCACCATACGGGAGTCGGACGAAAGAAGTTTTAGCTTGCAAATATACTGAAGTGGGTCGCCTGTTTGTAGTAAAATTTAATTTAATTGAAATAATATTTGTGGCAAACGAAAGGTTTATGACATCGTATTTGTTATTTTATTACGATACGTAAATACATATATTGCCAATTAGTGTTTTGTTCTAATTACATTCCTTTTAAATAACTGTACTATTATTTTAACTTTAAAGTTTTAGGAATGTTTTATTTTCATTTATTTCTTGTTAAATATGTCGAATTTTTTCTCGTGGTCTGATACACATATTTCAGTTGCCTAATTCCTTTAATTGAATTGAATTAGATCTTTTAAACAGGTGGCAACCCTTTTACGAGTATTTTAGAAGTAAGAGATTTTGAAACCCATTTCGATTCATACCTATATTGTATTACCTAATTCTTTAAACTTATTAAATTTTAATGGAATTTGTAACAGATGGCAACCCTTTTCAAAAAATAAAGCTTTAGTGCACATATATGTACAGGTAAAGCCCTGTAATTTGACACATCACTTTTTGAAAATAGAACGAACTATAAGTAAATGCTACATGAACCCAAATTTTCAGATTTAAACTGGATTTACAGTGAAAGTATGAAAGCTATCTAAAAACAAATTGCAGTTTTGAATTCACCATCCTCAATTTCACTAAGAAACAAAATCCATATTAATACCTCCATAATAAACGGATAAAACGGAAGCCTTCTAAAATTCTAACGATTTAATATAAGAGTTCTTATCGGTGTCAAAACAATACGTTTCTTCACCTTGACGATTCGCTATCTTTAATAGGTTTCTCTACTTGTTGTCGAGTTATCGCAAAGTGATAATGAATTACATTTTTTCAAGAAGACATGTCTAATTAAAACCATCTTCCGTTTGTCGGAGATGGTACATCATACAAAAAACCGTAAAAATATATTTCTCTAAATAATTCTTTTTTTTTTTTATTTAGGGAGGTAATCCATGTGCCGTTTATGGCCAAGTTTGTAGTCTTCGCCAAGAAAGTGGAACCTTACGAAGCCCGCCTGCGAGTTTTCTGCATGACCGACGATCGCGAAGATAAGACACTCGAAAAGCAGGAAAGGTTTACAGAGGTTGCCAAGAGTCGTGACGTTGAAGTACTCGAAGGCAAACCACAATTTATTGAAATGGCTGGTAATTTAGTGCCAGTCACCAAATCTGGAGATCAACTGCAATTACAATTTAAAGCATTCCGTGAAAATCGTCTACCATTTACGGTACGTGTCAAGGACCAACACGCCGACATTGTGGGACGTACATTGTTTATGAAGGAGCCAAAAGTTGCAAAGGGCGAGCCACCGCAACATCCCATCTGTATTTTGAATATTGTATTACCCGAAATTGTCATACCGGATACAACTACCGAGTTCAGCGATAAGATCACCACAACCTATCGAAGCTCGCTGTTTAGTTTGAGCAAACATCAGAACGATCATTACATCGGCGATATACGTATTGTGGATTTGTCCAATTTACTAGGCAAGGATTGGATACAATTAGCCTCTGAAATCGGTATTAGTACGGAAGAGATTGATGAGATCATAAATCAAAATACTGATAGTATTGCGCGGCAGGCCCAAAGCATGATACGACTTTTCAAGGATAAACCAAATTACGATATACACGCCTTAGAAGTAGCGCTCAAAAATATTGGACGTGATGATATTATGAAAAAGTGCAAAAGTGGGCGGCTTTCACACTCTCGCGACTTTGACGAAACCGACATTATGAAGAATTCGGAATCGGTGGAGGAACTCGTGCGACAAGAGAGTAAGTGGAATGAAAAACAGAATTTAAGGAGTATTTCAATAGAAGTTGCTTACACGATTTATATTTTTTTGTATATGTAGGTAAACGAATTCAACAGATCCATGACCATGAGGAAGTCAAATACTCGGCGGAGGAAAAGGAAGTGGAAGAATCTGAATCAGATGAAGAAATCACGAAGCGCACTGTAGCCGAACGACGAGAGAAGATCGTTAAAAGACTCTCCATCGAACGGCAAATTCCAGCTTCATCGCAGAAAAAGGAAATTACACGCGAAATTTCCGAAATAAAACGTAAGAGCCTAATCGAGGACAAAAAGGCTATTCATGAGTCGGAAATTAATATGCAATTACCGACAGATAACATTGTTAAGTCCACTGTTGCTCCCGATCAAGTTATGAAAATGAAAATGGGTAAAATGGATACAGGGGAAATAAGCAAAAGTGATTTTGATAAGGAACTGACGCACAAATTAAAAACTTCTGGACGTAGCTCAGAAGAGGAAGATTCCACAACGGAATATAAGCAAATTCAGGATGATGAGAACTTAAAAATCGTACAAGATATTAGCGCTGTAGAGAAACCAAAGCACCTGCAAGAGTCGCCGATTACTTCGGAACAAGAAAAGGCAAAGCAAATGACTGAAGATTTTTTAAATGTAGAAAAGCAAACGCAACTTCCAGCAGATATTACCATCAGCGAGAAATTTGTTGAAGAAGTAAAGGAAAAAGAAATGAAAGGTGCGGAAACGGTAGAGAAATCGAGTCAGAAAATTGAGAAAATTATAACTGCTTTTGAGGGTGGAAAATATGAGGATGAACTGCAAAAGCTGCCGCCCAAAGAGAGTAAAACGTCCATAGTGAACCAGGAGAAGGGTAGCACAATTGAGGACAAAATTGCCGACTTCGAAGCTAGAGGTGTTACCTATGACATGATATCAGTGCTACCAAAAGATATAAAGAAACTCGGTGAGATGCCAACAGACGATGTGTATCAGGCAGGCGAAGAGCCTACTAAGTCGTTTGAGAAATCCATCACCGAAGACTTTCTTAGCATGGAGCAAAAATCTCAATTGCCTATCGCAACTGAAATAACTAAAAAAACTATTAGTGTCGATGAACCACTTCAGGAAACCACACGTCCAGTCGCTGAGAAAAGAACGTCTCTGGCCGAAAGGGTGCCAGAGCCAAAAGCGCGACTATCTACAGAAGTGCAGGCGGAGCCCGAAAGTGCCGAGGGAAAGAAGACTCTCGCAGAGCCAATACCTAAAGTCACAGAAATCACAAAGGAATTCGAAAAAGGTGGCGAAACCGTAACCACCGTAACTACCGAAACAAAGAAGCTGACGCATGAGTTCTTGAGCATGGAACAAAAGGCGCAGACGGAGGCGAAGAAAACAGTGAGTGAACTTGCAACAAGCACTGCGGAGGTAAGGGAAACGGCTGAAGAACTTTTTGAAACTACAACCGAATTGGAGGTGTCAGCGAAAGACGTCGAAATGGCAAAAATGCAAATGAAAGAAGTTACTAAAGATTTGGCTGCAGACCTTATAGAATCTAAAAAAGGACTAGAAGTAGATTCGAAGACTGAGTTGCGGACAGGAGTTTTAGAAAGCGCACGCGAGTTTGAGAGCGCCACAAAGACTGAAGTATTGAAGACCATAAAAGATTTGAAACAAACCGAGGATAACGTAGAAAGTAAAATAGTAGCTGACGTGTCTGAGACCACGAAAGACTTAAAAGAAGCTGCTAAGACTATAGGGGTTGCGAAGATAACGGCAACTGAAACTTTGAAGGAGACGACAGAGGTAACCAAGCAGGAAATAGACACACAAATTGAAAAAACTAAGAAAGTGTTAAGCAGTGTTGTGGATGTGACAAAAGAAACAGCAGGTCTATCTAAAACCGCGGCCGATGAAGTGAAAATCGATAAGACGGCTAAAGAAGAAAAAACTACAATTGAGACGATTTTTTCAACTCAGCAAGCACAAAAGTCAAGCGAAACGCTGCCTGCTGTTGAAACGAAAAAGCTAACAGCAGACTTCCTGACAATGGAACAACAAATGCAGTTGCCGACCTCCAAAGAACCAGCAGAAGAAGATCACAAACATGAACTCTTAAANTACAGCGAGCGACATTCCAGATTCACAGACCCCACCACCGACGCCAATCGAAATCAGAACTGATAGGCAAGACACAGTAGAAACATCGCCACGCAAAACTTCCGATGAGAAAAGTAAGTGAGCATTAGAGCTGTAAAAGTAACGAAAATTTGGATACCCGTATGTAATCGTTACTAATCCAATCAGCATCCGTATATTTCGTATCGTTACTTTACTCGTTACTTTTGATACAAGCACTTTTACCTCACACGAATTATCGCAACGAAATTCCTAGCGTCAGAAAGTGTTCGTTCCTACATATGCGTGCATGTACGTAAATACACACGCAACACATTTTAGTATCGATACGAACAACAGTTTCGTTCCCGCACAATATGTTGTGTTCAATTGATTCATGTTAGTGGTGCATATACGGCACATGTGAGTAACGAGAATATTATGTGAGTAACGATTCGGTACTTGGAATCAGGGGTTGTAGCCGTTACTCAGTAACGAATACATACACAGCTCTAGTGAGAATATTTTGTTTTACTTAGCTATTAAGAATTGTATTTGAATTTGTATATGCATGAGTAATTTAATGTCCTTCTTTTTTATTCATTGACAGGCCATCTAACTGATACTGTGATTACTTTACATAAGACCACAGAATCGACATTCGAACGTGTTTCGGGAATTTCGAAAATCGGTAAGCGCTTAACGAGCTCCTACTAAGTACATATAAATAATTCTTGTAAGATTACTATCATGTTTTTGTTGCCTTTTAGCATTGTATCAAGTAAAGAAAAATTAAATATTCGACCACCATTTTATTTTTGGTTTGTATGGCATTTTGTAGATTTGTTTTGTATTTATCGTAATCTTCTTATAATTAAAAGGATTTTTGTTATTGTTTTTACAATTTAATTTACTTAGGCTTTTTGTATGCAAACTCCATTCATATTCTAATGTAATCAGTTATATATATTTTATTTTTCTCTGTGTATATGAAAAGAAAAATTAAAGAAAAAACTACTCTGATTCAAAAATACCATGTAAAAATTAAAAATACTATAACCGGTTGCAATAAACAGAAGCTAATTGAATGAATTAGCGGCTGGTAGTACATATAATAGAAATTAGTTCGAATTCGAAAATTTACTTTCGAGTACGTTTATGAACTCTAATGTGGACAAAACATAAAAATAAATTTAATTCTTTATATGTATTTAAAGTTATTTTATTTTTTAAAAATACGGATATATTTAAAAGAAAACGGGATTTTTTCTACCACTTAACACACACATATAGTCTTTAGAAGACAGATAGAATTCGTTATATGTATGTATGTATGTATGTATGTAGTATGTAAATACTACNTTAGAAGACAGATAGAATTCGTTATATGTATGTATGTATGTATGTATGTATGTAGTATGTAAATACTATTTACAGTGGAAAAACTCTGCGTGGCTCTAAGCTTATACATATGTAGATCTGCCAAACCAGAAATTCTAATTTACTAATAATACTTCATACTGAGAAAGCTTTAGGTGCTGTTAAAAATTAAACTCGTTAAATTAAAGAAGTCTAAGTTATTAAATAGCCGGCGCACTTATTAAATATAGTTTGTCCACGTTTCTGAAAACTACCATTACAGGTTAATCAGGGGTAGTTTAGCCCCTTGTTAAAGCATTTTCAATAATATCTTCTGTTAGACTTAATGAAATATACGTATGTAGTCATAAGTGGTCGGTGCCACGACCGTTTTCCAAAATTCCCAGATGATCTTAGTTTTTTAGAGATTGTTGTGAGCATTAAATTTTAGTAAATTAGCGTCCCTAAATTTCGAAATATCGAACTTTCCGTATTTCTGAAATACACCGTTGTGTGAAAAATTTGCGTAATTTTAGTCCAAGTATAATAATTATACCTAGTTTGGTACAAATTGATAGAATCGTTACCGCAATACACATACGAGGTCAATTTTTTTTTAAATCGTTTTCCCTCAACATATTGTAAATATCAATTTTGAGTGCATAAGCTTCAGAAATTACTGATTTATCGCATGAGTGCGCGCGGGTATAATAAATGGGATACTTGAACAACGTGGCGTATGAGTAACTAAAACTTTACGTGTTGCCTGCATTTACTGGTGATTTTAAGGAATAGTGAATGGCCTGTTGATGTATGTATTTAAAATTTTTATATACTAAAAACCAAATTTCCAAGATTTTGCACTGAAGTGACAAACAAAAAAAACAAAAACAACGTGAATCAGCTGTTTCTCAAATTCTGGGCACGAAATGTGCTTGTTTGCGTTCCCGTACTTCTGGACTATGTTCCACTTTTGAGAGCAAACTTTTCGCTTATTCTCTAATTACCGGATCCGGTCCGGAGAACCTACTATGTAGTTATACGATTGGTGGAAACTTGGTGACAGTTGTAATTTCAAGGAAGTCTTTATTGATCCTGCAATACATGTATGAAATATTATCAGACTGATTCAACTTAATTTCCGATTCGCGAATTTAAGTCTACTTTTCTTTCTATAAAAGATTCTGTTACGAATTCCGTTTAAAAGTAAACATCCCTCGTCTTTTAAATCCACTACTGAGACATCTTATAATTTTAGGTGGATTACAAGTAAAGACAAATTTTTCGTTAAAACTAGTTCAAGTCAAGGGATTTTCCTGTCTTTTCATAACACTGCAGGGAAAATCTCAAGTTTTGAAATGATACAAAAAAGCGCAGAAATACATAAAATTAACTTTGAGTTTTGGATTACGAATCTGTATTCTGTTTTTATAGATCAGGCCATTTTCCCAAAACTTTTTGCATTTTTATGAAAACTAAATTTAAACTTTACCAGGGCAATAGTAAAAATAATGACAGATTTTTTGTAAATTTGTTTCATTTGTATAAAAGCCTGTTGCTTCACAAAAAAATTATTTTATAAACGAAGAAAATCGATGGATAAATAAAGTAGTGATTAGTCAAAGGAAAATGCCTAATTATTTTTCTTAATAAAATATGAGCAGAAAAGAACGTGACTCCTTTAATCTGATGTTGGAGAAGATAATAAGAGCTGCAGAACTGAACCGCTCAGGAACAATTTACTACAAGAGCGTGCAATTGCTGGCTTATGCCGATGACATCGACATCATCGGTAACAAAAACCGCGAAGTCTGTTCTGCCTTTTCCAAGTTGGATAGGGAAGCAAAGCAAATGGGTCTGGTGGTAAACGAGGACAAGACGAAGTATCTCCTGTCATCAAACAAACAGTCAGCACATTGGCGCCTTGGCACCCACGTCACTGTTGACAGTTACAATTTCGAGAAAGTAGAGAATTTCGTTTACTTGGGAACCAGCATGGACCAGCATTCTGCTTAATGGCGTATGAGTAACATTTTTCATGTTAAAGTTTGATTTTCTTTCCTAACCTAACCTGATCTATAAAATCGGCGTTTGGCGTTTTTTGTGTCATATTTAGCTGCGGGGTTTCACTAGCGACTTTGCCATGCTTATTGCTCTCATGCAATCATAATCGTCTTGTATGCGGTGAGACGTTAGGGGTGTTCTGCAACCCTTTTATTACCGGATGATCGATCTGCAAATATTATCCTGATAATGGTTGACTTTCAGAGACTCAGTGGATACAAATACTAACTAAATAATAATTTTGTTCTGTTGTAGAAACCTCTCCTTGCTACCCTGAACAGGGCCTCGTCTCATGGATGACACCTCAATATACCTTCCGTAACGCTCTGGCAAAAAATATGCCATAACTAAATAATAGGAAAATGTGACTGGCTCTCCTACTAAGTATTACTCATACGCCATATCGTACTCGCACATACTCGTACATGGCGTATGAGTAACATTTTCCATGTTAAAATTTACATTATTTTTTATTTGGTAGGGATAAAGATTTATAGATTGAAAGCATAGTAGGAAGAAAAAGAAGTCAGGGAATATTAATTCAGTATATCAACATAGTTCACAGAAGTAATGAAGAATTGCTGTTTTGTATGGATGAGGTTAGATAGGTATGCTTAGGAACTAAAAAGCCGTGATGTCTACGTGAATTGGTCGTATCAGTTTGGTCACAAAGAGTTTCTCGCTTCGTGCTGGTCGAAGATATTGCAACCCAGAATTTTATTTCTCCATGGAGTGATGTCATCGTACGTTCTGATACCATAGACTTAGCGTATGACGTTATTCAATTCCACCTCCATTTTATGTGCTGACGCTGAGTTAACTTTACTGTATGATATAATTCGGAATATGTATGTTCACTGGGATAAAATAAGCTGAATGGCTAGCTTAAGTCTCGTTTCTAAAGCCGTTTTGCAGGGAAAATTCGTAAGCTTTCAATTTATGACTACTTAATAAAGATTTAGCCAGGATTAAACTGAAAAAAGACGAAATGAGTAACTGTTAATAAGTAGTTAAACGAAACTCAGTCCACTGGTATAACTGAACAACGGCACAAAACGAAAAATGTCACCATAATTGTATGACAGTAGTAAGGGTTGCCTACTTCGATTTTCTGACAAAGGGCACAATTGCGTCCCAGGTCGGACTGGTAACAAGCCTCATATGTCGATTTCCCACACAAAAATATGGTTATTTATCAACCTAATCCGATATATAACTCAAAAACATGTAATTTTGAATTGTGGCGTTATTGATATGTGTGGGTTATAAAAAGTCGCTCATACGCCATGTATTTGAATAAACAGCAAATTAAGTTGAAGTAAAAAAAAAAAAACAATACGTATTTTGCAAGTTTCGAAATGAAATGCTATATATTTACAACAAATATTTGTTTTAAAGAAAAAGGGCATCAAAAGATGATACGAAAGTATGCGATAGCCAAAACTTTATAAATAATTTTATAGCAAAAAAAAAAGGCGAAATTAATAATTATGAAACTATGTCGCCGTACCACTGGGTTTAGGCAATTTACCAGATTTTGTGCCTAAAGGTCTGCTACACCAACACACACAGATGTGCCGAAAGCTGAATTTGTGACGAAGTCGTGTACACTTCTCAAATGCAACATTCCAGAACGTAATGCAGGAATAAGTAACCAAGTTTGAGGTACCCAAAACCATGTTCAACTTATTCGATTCGCTTGATGCATCACCCTTAAAAACTTTTCGGAAGCTTTCTTAAAGCCCAACTTCCTCAGTGCAAAGCATAAACTAAGACTTCAAGCCTCTTTAAGTGCGTGCTTTTTAGCTTCAAGGCTTAAAGATTAAATATGATTAACAAAACAGGAAGTCGCTACAATACTTTAAAACTCGAAACTGTATTATTATACTTAATCATTGCATTTCGAAATTTCAATTTCTAAAAATTACTTAGGTGATTTAGAAAATAAATTAATTTGATTAGGTGTCTAACCTGAAACGATTGGTAGTACCTACATATATCATGGCAGTACCCTGCAATATAAAGTAGAAATAAAAATTAAAGTACGAGCGAGAATGCTCTCAGTCATCAATGCATAACTAATTTGAACTAATGAACTAAAAATGTTCCTTACATGGTTTTTATATCGATTTGCTGAGAACTTAGGAATTCTTCGATTATTGTACATTGCTTTGTTTGAAATTTTGCATTGTCAAGGCTGTGAGGGCGTAGACACACAACTCGGTCAAAAAATGTAGACCATGGTATTTTGTTTCTATGAAAGAAGAA